TTTATTGAAGTTAGTTTTATAAATATTTACCATTATTTATACAAAACTTTTTGGTGCAGAAATATGTAAAATGTTTTTAATTTTGAGCATAGTTTCAAGTAGGAAATGTATTTTTGTTGGTATTTGGTRTAATAGATAAAATAAACAAGAATTCGAGAATATAGATTCTCAAATGAATGCATAGGCATTACATCAGTGTTAGATAAAATTAATTTTGTATTTTTATTATACTTAAAAAGGAATGCCTCAGTAGTATAGAGTTTGAAATCTACCAAATATTGTATAAAAGAATTTTCTGAACTTAATATAATAACTCAACAAATTTTACACTATTGAATTTTTAATAATGCTTGTATGTCAAAAGGTTTGAATATTTAGTACAAGGTTCCTATTACCTCACTGGAGAAATAGTTTTTCATAAAGTTAAAATATTTCACAAGAAATCAAATATTAAATTTTGAAATTCCTATTATATATACAATAAAAAAGGATGTTTCAAAAATTGAATTTGTAAGAATTTAAAACTATTTAACTACATGTATTATTATTTATTTTATTTTGTGTATAATTAAGTAATTAGACTAATTTTAAGGTATTTATATGTCTGCAATAATGCAAAATTAGCTAAACTAAAAGAATTTATGATATCTAGGTAAATTCTCTACACTGATTACACTAATAAGTGTTAAAGATCTTGTCAGTCACCACTGACACCACTCATCAGATATTTGAGCTTAGGCAGTTACCACCTGATTCTCCGGAGGGAGCTGAGGTWGTTAATTCTGCAGAATAGAACATAAACTATACACCACTAAAATGTTTAAAAATGTGCAAACTTACCAAGTCCACTGTCTAAAAGGAGTATGCCGCAGTAGGGATAGGTAACGCGACTGTTTGAGTCGAAAGAAAAACGCACTGATCGCTRCTTCGTAAAAGAATCTTTCCAATTATAGTATAGACGCTGAACACTGAACCTATAGTGATCGGTTTTTAGTGATGCGCATGTGTCATGGTGAACCACAACAAAATAGATAGGTAGGTTACCGTATTGTATAATATTTATTTTGTCATGGATAATGCGTTCGCGCTGATTGCAGGACAATGCGATCACGGTGTCCACTGGCCAGATAGTAGTAGGAGCAGGCTCTTCGTTTTCAAGGACAATCCCTCCGACGTCAGATCCCTTTTTTCAGCAACCCGCTCACTCTAACCAGGGCTATTGTAAACACGAATATTGCCCTCCTGTTGCGAGATTGCATTGCGTCAGCGTTGTACCTTGTACATAATAATATATATTTGATATCGGCGATGACCGTTCCCTGGGTGTGGCGGGTGCAAGTACGACAAAAAAATGTAGATGTAGGGCTGTTATTTGTTATTTTCTTTTTATTAGCTTTCAACCATAAATTGCTATAGCTAAAATGTTATTTCAAAGTCTGAGAAAGTTAACGATTTTTTACAACTTCGTTAAGTTATAAATTAAACTTAACAAAAAATTAAAAATGTTCAATTTGGATATCGTTTCAAGCTTGGGGATTCTGAGCATAGCATATTGGCGTAATTTAGTCATGTTTGTGGGAGGGATTGATGTGCATTTAATATACTAGGACACTAGGTAGGTACCCATCATATAAATATTGTAATAATTTGTCCAATATTCTTAATAAAACTATCCGATATATCATATATGACGATTATATCATTATTAAATAATAAATGCCTACCTATATATGCGCGCATAAGAACAACCTATAGTAGATAGGCATCTACTTATTTTGTTTTTGGATCGCCCTGGCTAGGACAAAACCGGTAATGCGGTTAATCGTAATTTGTAATTTGTACAAATAACATAAAAACAGAATCGTAGTTAGATGAGTACATACAGAACAAAAAACAAAGAAAA